TATAGAAAATGGCAATTTGGTGATCACTAAATGATTTAATGTCCACTATACTGTGAACTATACAGTGAACTAATAAGATTCAGGAGCCATTTTTGCCTAATATAGTCCAATGTTATAGCAAGGCTATGTTATGTAGCAGTTTTTTTTATATAAAGTGGTAGCAAAAACAGTCAAAGGCGTCAGGCGTTTCAGATAGAAACTTAACCTAGAAAAGGCACAATATCAAAACACTTTGTTATCATAACTGAATTTTTGTGATATGGTTTAATTACATATAAGTGAATAGTAAATACTTGATAGTATTTAGTACCATTTTGTATGAAAACTGGAACGTAGCATAGCCTTGTCATAACTTGGTATATTTTACGGCAGTATCGTTCCATAGTAGACCATAGCAGCACATCATCATTTATGTATAAATGTAAGTATTAAAAAAAAATTATAGCAAAAACTATTCATGACTTTATTCCAATATTTTTACTTGAAAATCTATTCACGACGTTTTGTTGTTCGTTAGTATACACCTGTCATTTTATTTTTTTCGAAATTTAGATCAATGATCTAGTTAATTTACACTATGAATCATACTTGCCGATTTATATATATATAATATATATATATATAGTTATGTAATAAACATTTCATTATTATAACTGTACGAAGTATATGGCGTCACTGAAACATATTAAGCATCTTACCTTGAATTTCGGCGTAAAAAGTCTGTTTAGGGCTTCAGCATTCAGCACTAACCTATAAAATGAAATTACAATTAATATAATTAATTTACATGATTTCCTTCGCAAGGCAATTTAGTGCATATTTTGCATATTTTGTGATAATTACCTTCATTTTAAACTTCCTCAACAATTTACAGCAAAGAGATTTGAATATCATCTTACACACTATACACTTTAACACTATACACTTTGCACACATAAAATAAATAACTAATTATATTGTGGTATACTACACTGAATTTAATTTACTATATTCCGTTACACTTGTATTAAATGGTTTTTGTAATGAACGTCTAATGTTTTCAAACACTAGTTACATATTAGTGACAGATTTTTGAGTATTAAGGAATTTTAAGGTTACTGTATTAATTGAATAGAAGTTACGACTTAGCACTTAAATACTGAAATATCAAAACACTTCCAAACAATTATTATGCTTTAAATCAATTATATAATATTTTTCAGCTCACATTATCAGACACTAGACAAATTTGATTATCACAGGACTAGAAGAATTAATACACTGCATATTTAACACTGATAATTCTTATGCGCGCCTCAAAGCAGACATCAACACTAAAATGTATTAACCTGGCAAAAGTTAATAATTTAATTTACTTCCACTAGAGGCAGCACTTGTATGTTTAGTGGTGTAGTCCAAGAAACTAGTGATTTTTGGTTAAAGATTACAATTGTTCGATGATGAAACTAACTAATCGAATAAAATTCGATTGAATTGAAATAAATCAAAATATAAATCCACTAAAAGGAGAAAATTTATCGCAAAATACTGGTTTCAATATTTTAAAAATAATGATAACATTGGGCAATCGAAAATAATGTAATTAAAAATTCATAATTCATTCGTTCATAAAAATAAATTTACTTAGTGTCTATTTGAGATTTGTAATTTTACATATTGGAACGTTTATGAATTTACGACAAAGCCATAAAATTTGTAAATAAAATTCGATAAATTCATTTGAGAATGGTGAAATTGTTTATTTGAAAGCAATATACATTTTTCGTTAATTACTTTTAATATTATAATAATAAAAAACTTCATAGAAAACTTACAATCATCGATATTAATTAGTTTATCGATATTGATTTGTAGCTGAGATCAACCCATACAGATTTTATCATTATATCCTTTTAATTCGAAAAAATATGATGATTTAATGAATCGATGGCATATAGGCAATTTTATTAATTTAAATTCATTAAAAATATATATTCATGGTACCTTTTATTCAAGTTTCGTACTAAGTCATCTAGTAAATTATATGAATTTATTAAAGTTAAAGATGGTATGAGTCAGCAGTGACCCATGAAAGTGAGGTTGGCACACAGTAGTCGGGGTTTGATTCCAGCCTCGACTAAGCTCGATATTAAGCAGTATGACATCAAATTTCCATTTGGGGTTATAGATCTCAAATATGATCTCAAGTGAAAATCGTCTTTCCGTCAACACTATTAGGTGCACACATCATTCTAGTAACCTAACAGGTTAGCTACTGAGTTGTCTTCTCAAAAAATATTATAGATTAGGAATATAAGTTTGGAAACATAAAAGAACACTTATTTTTTATTGTTGATATATAATTCAAACTAGAAAGACCTGTGCAAAATTACTTATTCTTAGGATTCAAAAAGAGTGTATTATGGAGTTTTTTTTGACAAATACGAAAAATAATGGTTTATATAATAGTTCAAAAAATTTACTCAAAATTGAAAATACCAAGTGGTGGTTATACCAAAATAACTGCATCTACCTGAACAGTGGGATCTTTATATTGAGCACTCAAATTATTTATAATCAAAAATTATAAATACACATGTAATTCTTGGAAGTGTAATTTTATTTCAGGAATATTTATGTTTCACTTCAGGGAAACTGATATCTCAAGAATTTTCTATGAAGTTGATTAGTAGGAAGTACGACTAAGGTTACAGTTGGTACGATTGACAACGAGGCATTGAGACATATTCATCATACTGCCACTATAATTTTAAAAACCTAAAATTATTTATTTTATTAAGAAAAATTAAATATTTAGTAATTTTTAATCATAAATCAACAAAATATGGATTCAATCAAAGCCAAATTTTTTTTCTATGTTAATTGCACTAAATATTCTATAACGTTCATTGCATTGCTTAGAGGGTAAGGAAAACAATCAACTTTGAAAAACCAACATTCTTTGGTTTAAAAATGATGGTATATTCAACCCTTCGATAACGCAGTATCCTGGAAACGTCATTCCCATAATATTCCCGTACTTTTAGTTTATAGCATTTTAGTTTATACCACATATAAACTCTTCAATTCCATAAAAATAAATTATATTTTCTTTTATATCCTGATATGAAGTCTTCAATTCAATAAAAATAATGTAAAATTTGTTCGTATAATATATCATTATATGAACACTCTTATTTGCCTATATATAACGTAAAAAAAATGTTGTGATTTGTACTAATTCTGTACAGTAGTTAGCACGAATTGCGTATACCGCGGTAGCAGGTTTCCACAGAACCTCTAATGAATTAGCCTAGACTGTTGTTAAACCTGAGTTTCTTAAAACACGGTTTCCATATAGCACTGTACGCTCTCACCGTGGTATCGGAAGTTCGACTGCATTTATCAAATAACGAAATATAAATAAATGTGATACATACCAACAAAAAAATGAATGCATTGGAATAACTTCAACTCCTCCATGACGTCGATCATAACGCTTTCGCCTTGTCCAAAACAGACAATTGAGGCGTCGGCAGTATCACCCTTTTCACTCCGTATTGTTGAATTTCCCAAATGTTCCCACGCTTCCTGATTCCATTCAAAGATTCGCGCATTGCTCGCCTAGCTGTCGTCCCGAATTCGGAAACGGGTATGTCCACATGCAATATTCCGGCTTCATACAAAATAGTGAATAGTTGAATAGACCATTCTGGAATGACCGATGGTTATGTTACTGCCGAGATTTCGACTGAACGATAAGCGGATATACGAACCTTTTGCATATAATAATACTAGACTAGAATGTATAAGGGGTCGGTTAATGTAAAGATATGATTTATACTCAATGAGATACGGATAACTATTGTGTAAAGTTTTACTGGACAGTGGTGATATAAATTTTGCTTCGGCTCCATGTACTAGTTTTTTTTTTTTGCTAAAGTATAAGGAAACTTGTGTACTGGACGCGAATTAATTTCATTAAATCTGAAATCA